GAGTGGGAGGCAGCCCGGCCCCGCTGAGCCTCCTGCAGGCTGCTGGAGAGGGGTGAGCCCCAGGTCAGCACCACTGAGAGCCACCGGCCCCATGCCCCTGGGCCTCCAAGCAGGGTGCTGACCTGGGCGGTGAGCCCATGACGGAGGCTGGAGGCGTGGGGTTGCTGCCCGCATTGTGGCGCCTCCGGATGGCCTGGGTCCGCCTCACACTGCTCGAGCGGTCTCGCCTGCTGCTCTCCTCAGTCGCTGCCCAGAGAGAGGCCCCAAGCATAAGGGACGGAGGCCTGGATAGGACCAGGTAAGTAGGGGCAGAAGCAGTGTTCCAGCAGGTAACTAAAGGTCACACCTTGCCCAACCTTGTCCAGGCACTGCGGCCCAGCCAAGTCACCTAGTCCTTCATGCTTTGGTTTCCTCATTTGGAAATAAAAATGACACTGATCTGCCTGCCCCACTGCTGGTGGGAGAATGAACACGGATGATGAGAGACCTCAGGGAACAGATGCTCAGGTGCTAACCGCAGGCCCCGGAGCCAGGTGGCTGAGCGCTGCTTGTCTGAGAGGTTTGGAAGACAACATCACCCAATCACCACGTCCACACCCACCTTGCGCCTGAGACGGAGGCTGAGCTGACTCCAACCAGGTCCACTCCAGCCTGCCCTTTGCCCAAACCCAACCCCCAGCTCACCTCCCCCAACTACCCCCTGCCCCTGAAGCCAGCACTCACCTCCCCCAACAGCACCTTCCTCCTGCAGCTCCCCCCGCCAGCCAGGCTGGTTGGCAGCAGGTCCCCTACGGGCCTCAGCAGGCAGCACTGCAGCCTCACCGGCAGCCAGCTCCACCCCCACCTGGGCCTCCAGCTCAGCCTTGGAGCCAGCCAGGGGGGCCCTCAGGACATCACCTCCTGCCCCATCCATGCTCAGCACACGGGCATGTGTTTTGGCGCTGGCAGTACTGGGCGTCCGCTGGGTCCCATAGGGCCGCTTGGGGGGCACAGCAGTCCCCTCCTCAGCCCCATGGGGGGCCCGCCGCTTCCGGGGTCCCCCTGCTGCACCCCGGGAACTCTCAGGGGAGTAGCAGGAAGTAGAAGAGGAGCTGTCAGTACTGTAGCGGCGCTGAGACCGGAGACTGGAGGCCGGGCTCAATTCACTGCCCTCGCTGGTGTCTTCATCCTCAAAGAAGCCCCCGCCCTCAAGCAGGGGCCGTCGAGGGGCACGGCCAGGTGGAGAGTGTCTTCGCATGGGTGGCCGCCGTTTGCTAGGCCGCAACAGGGCCAAGTCTTTGGGCCGCACAACCAGGAGCGGCTCAGTTGGGCCCGGTGGCGTCCCTGCTCCGATGACCGTATCAAAGGAACGCAGCGTGTCGTCTGAGGGGACCCCAGCATCTGGTGAGGCAGGCAGCTCAGCCTCAGAAGGTGGGTCTGTGTCGCTGCCCTCAGGGGCTTGCCCCCCAGGGGGGCTGTCCAGGTGGGTTGAGTTAGTTTTCTCACTCTTAAAGCTACTCAGCGTCTCCCTGTCAGTGCCGCTGAAGCAGGAATCCGAGGAGCCAGCTTTCTGGGGGGTGGGCTCACCTGAGCCCCGCCGGTCTAGGGGCTGGTAGCCACCGGCTCCCCGGCGTTGCTCCCGTCGACTGCTGGTCCTCACAAGGGCCCGGTCAGGACGGGTCAGGGTCAGGAAGCTCTTGCTCAGCTCTTGGCTGAGACTCCCCTTCAGTAAAGGGCTCATGGGCGTGTCAGCCACGCTGCTCCCGCTCCAGGGAGCTCCACTGCCAGCCAGGGGAGAACGCTCGGAAGAGTCTGTGCTGGGGAGCGAGGGGTCTGGGGCCGCCCCGGGGGGCGTCTGGGGAAGATCTCCAACTGTCAGAAAAAACCAACAGAGAATGAGAGGACTTTCTACAAAAGAAACTGCTGGATGCTCACAGGGTCTTATGACAGGATCGGACGCTGAGGGAGGCCTATCCAAGAATACAAAGGAAGACCCAGGATGGAGCAAAAGTTGGGGTGTTAAAGACAAAATTGCTAGTGTTCTCCCCACACCCCTGCCACACCGTGCCCACTCACTCAGTTTCTCCTGTGAGCTGAGCTTCAGCATCTCTCGATCGGCTGAAGTCACGATCACATTGTTGCTGCCCTGCTCCCGCACCAGCTCCTTGATGTCTGCGAAAGTAGCCCGAGAGGCGTCAGTAGGACCCCAGCGCGGCTGCGTGCCAGCCCCTGTTCCACACCACTATGCTCAACCCTGCACAGCAGCCACCTACCTCTGAGGGGCCCAGAGTCCTCCATCCGGGGCAGCAACTCCTGAGCAGAGAGAGCCATGAAGGAGCAAATAGGGCAAGGAGCAGGTTAAGGATGCCCACCAAGGGAACAAGCTCGCAGAAGAGCAGGAGAAGCTGAGGGACAGGCCCACTCACCGAGACCTGGTTGAAGCCGAACACGGAATGCTGGGAACTGCAGCGCACTGGGGGCGTGGAACTCACTTTCCGAAACACTGTCATCTCTACTCCGGGGTCCCTGGTGGTGGAAAAAGCAGCAGCTTTGAACTAATCTCTCCTCTTTATATACTGCTTGCCCCCATCCTCATCACTCCTTCCTCCTCAAAGGTCCCCCTACAATTCCAGGGCTGACACCAGACAAGTGCTCACAATCACTCAGAAAGCCAATGTTCCCGGAGTTCCTACTCCACCCTGCAAGGCTCAGGCCCAGGCACCAAGAACCCTTCATCCCCAACACAGCCCCTGCCCCACCCACCTGGACGGATTGTTGTCCCCCTGGGCAGGCTCTTCCTCCAGCTCCCCCATGGCAGAGTTGCGCTTTTCCACAATCTCCCCCTGGTCGAACATGGCATGCAGCCGATAGTTCACTGTCTTGATGGTAGCAAAGATGACAGCCACCACAAGGCAGTACACGCCAGCCACCATCAAGCTGGGAGGCAGGACCTGGAAGTGGAAGCAAGTCAGGTTCCTTCTCGAAAAGCCCTGCCCTATAGGGGACACCTGCCACCAATGTCATGGCTAGAATTCACAAATTTACAAGATTTCGTCACCCTTCCACACAACCAGTACAAGGACCCTGTCAGGTAGCTTTGTCTTCCATTTAACTACACAAGGAGATTAGATGAGGACCTCAAGGTCACTCGACCCAAAAAAAGGAAGATTTTAGCCCCTCTTCCACACAGACCCAAACTCCACACCCCAGCGCCCAAGGCACGGCCCAGAATCTCTGCCAGGCTGCCTGCCCTCCATGACATCCTGCCCTCCGTTTCCCGGCAGAAGTTACAGGTGGCGGCGTCTCACCATGTACAGCAAGAAGGGAAAGGTGAGCAGGAAGATCCAGACATAGAGGTGGAAGCAGTTGGAGAAAGTGCTCTGGTGCGGGTCGAAGAACCAACCGCCGGTGAGCGAGGCCCACACCCCCTGGCGCAGGATCTGCAACACCTGCGACCCCATGGCCCCGCCGCTGCTGCGCGCGCCCCCCTCCCGGGACCCTCATGGGGGCGGCCCTCGGCCCATGCCCCGCCTGGCGCCCGAGGGCCCCGGGGCCTAGCCTCAAACTCACGCCATGGCCTCCCCCAGCGGGGGAGGGGGGATCGGAGGGGCGCGGGTGCGGGCAGGGGGCGGGGCCGGCTGGGGCAGTCAGCGGTAGGAGGCCCGGACACGGGGGTGGGGCCGCATTAGGGGCGGGGTCCGGGCCCCCACCCCTGGCCCAGAACTACACCAAGGGGTTGAGCGGGCAGGCAGGCGCGGGGCACGGGCCAGGCACCCGTCGGTGGCATCCAGAGGTGGGCGTGGGGTGGGTGCTCCCGGAGTGCCGGCGAGGGCTCCCTTGACTCCGGACCGGGGAGACCCCCGGGACCCTGAGGTCCACTTCCGGGGTCACAGGTCACTCGCTTTGGGCTCCGCGCTCGCCCGGCTTCTGCTGGTGCCGGCCCAAGGAGGAGGCCGGAAGAAGGAGCCGCGAGCCACCAGCCTGCAGTGGCGCATGCGCCCGACAGACCCAATTGGGACCCGGAAAAGGAAAACCTAAGAGCACGAATGCGCAAGCGCAAGATGAGACGCCGGTGTGCCCTTCGGGCGTGGGCAGAGTCCGAATCTAAAGAAAGTCCAAAAAGTAGAAGCGTTTGAGCGCATGCGCACATGCAGGCGTTGCCACTCCAGGAGAGATCACTGGGCGGAACCGAAGGGTTAGTTGAGTAACCATTGGGTAGCGGCGGAGTAATTGGCGCAGAGGTCTTCCAATGAGTTACGGGAGGCGGGGAAAAGATGGAGGCGTGGACTCTGTTGGGCTAAACGAAAGGTCGCCGCTACCGAAGCGCGCCCCACTTGGTCCTCCCCTTTTAGTGCTGGACCTCCAACGTCACGAGCGCCTCTTGCTCCGAGCGGCCTCTACTTCCGGGTCAGAGCTCAGACCTACTATGTAGAGAACGACCCTCCGGAACAGGCAAAAATAGTCGAAATAGGATAGTGTCGTTTTTCTTAAAGTGACAGGCTCAAAGCAAGCGTGGTCAACTAAGCCGTTGTGAGGGCGATTCAGCTATTCTGAATCCAATCCTGGGCAATGTTCTGGACAGCAGTCTCAGGTTTCCGCCTTTGCGGAAGGGATATGAAGAAGCGGATCGTTTTCCAGGTGAGGGGAAGAGGAAAGCTTTAGACAACCTGTTTCAAGAACTTGAGGTGCAGCCGTTCCATCTTCCTCCAGTCTTCCCCACCCCCATCCCACTAGCTCTGCAAAGCAGAGCTTCTCGTCCTCGGATGAAAAGAATGAGGCTCAGAGTCGATAGATCACACAGTCCTACAACTTGGTAGCCAAGACCAGACTCGGGTTTGCCCCACTCCCAAGTGCAAGTTCTGTAACCCGATTTTGCTGATGCTGACGCAGATGCAGAGGGCAGAGATGGCCCGTCCTTCAAAGAGACCAACTTCGACCCGAGGCAGCGGAGCACCCAGCCTGGGGCTTTTCTTCCTAGATCCCAAAGCCTGCTGCGATGGAGGGTCTGAGGTTACCCTTTCCCTCCTTCTGCCTCTCCTGGCCCGCCTACCCGGGAACTCCCCGCCCGGAGCCTCCGGGAGGGGAGCGGTGCAACCCGCCCGCGTCATCTGATGCTGTTTCCTGCAGGACGGAGAAGAGCGGAAAAAAGTGAAACTCCACCCTCCACCTCTGCCTCCCGCCCCCGGGGCCAAAGTACAAAGGGAGGAGGAAGAAGGGAACGGGGTCGGAGCCGTCGGGGCCAAAGGAGCTGGGGCCAGGAAGAGGCAGCCTCGGTCCAACTGGGGACTCTCCCTCCACCCCCTGCGCAAAAAGACCCAACCGGAATCCAGGCGTTGCCCCTGGCAGGCCCCACCTTACACTTGGCGGGTGCTGGAGCCAGGCTCCCAGGACTGCTCCGGGACCGAGGGAAGCTCGGACCCCTCCAAGCCAGCCATGGTGAGGCACCGGAGGCCCCGGGGCCCCACCCCCCCAGCCTGACCACACTGCCCTGGGTGCCCTCCTCCAGAAGCCCGAGATGCGGGGGGCCGGGAGGCGGCACTCCTGGCTCCCCAGAGAGGCGTGGGTCTGGGGCTGAGGGCCAGGGCCTGGATGCCCAGGTTCCGGGACTAGGGCCTCAGCAGCCAGCAGGGGTGGGGACCACGGGCACCCAGAGAAGGTCCACCATATATTCCAACGCCGGCTCCCGGCCATGGAGCCTTTGAAGAACCTCTTCCTCAAGAGTCCGCTGGGGTCATGGAATGGCAGTGGCGGTGGGGGCGGTGGAGGTGGAGGTGGAGGCCGGCCGGAGGGGTCTCCAAAGGCAGCGGCTTATGCCAACCCAGTGTGGACAGCCCTGTTTGACTACGAGCCCAGTGGACAGGACGAGCTGGCCCTGAGGAAGGGTGACCGTGTGGAGGTGTTGTCCCGGGACGCAGCCATCTCAGGAGATGAGGGATGGTGGGCGGGCCAGGTGGGTGGCCAGGTAGGCATCTTTCCATCCAACTATGTGTCTCGGGGTGGCGGCCCGCCCCCCTGCGAGGTGGCCAGCTTCCAGGAGCTGCGGCTGGAGGAGGTGATCGGCATTGGTGGCTTTGGCAAGGTCTACCGTGGCAGCTGGCGAGGCGAGCTGGTGGCCGTGAAGGCAGCTCGCCAGGACCCCGATGAGGACATCAGTGTGACAGCTGAGAGTGTTCGCCAGGAGGCCCGGCTTTTCGCCATGCTGGCACACCCCAACATCATTGCCCTCAAGGCCGTGTGCCTGGAGGAACCCAACCTGTGCCTGGTGATGGAGTACGCAGCTGGTGGGCCCCTGAGCCGTGCTCTGGCTGGGCGACGCGTGCCCCCCCATGTACTGGTCAACTGGGCCGTGCAGATTGCCCGTGGGATGCACTACCTGCACTGCGAGGCCCTGGTGCCTGTCATCCACCGAGACCTCAAGTCCAACAACAGTGAGTTTGGGGAGCGTGGCTGGGGGGTGGCATGGCCCAGGCACACACCTACTCCTAACCCTCAGTTGAGCCTAGCTAGGGATCTACTGGAGGCAGGAGCTTCTATCCTGGGGGAGCCCTAGTTGACCAGGGGTGCCCATGGGCTCACACTGGCCCCAAAGCAGGAGTCCCAGGCAGCAAACAGAGTCCTTTTGCCCCAGCCACAGAAGAAGACTGTGACCCCAGCCTGCAGCTGCAGCTTGGGCAAGTTAAGAAATTGGGATCTCCAGTGAGCCATAAGCATCCTGCCTAACCATGGCTACCACCTCAAGGAAGTCCCCTGGATGCTGGTGCTCCTTGTCTTCCTGTCCCCTAAAGTTCACAATCGTGTTGGTGCTTTGCCCTCCCCTCCCTTCATGGTGGGCAGCTCTTCCAGAAAAGATATCTCACAGGGGAAAGCCTTCCCCTTGGCAGTCAAGGCTAGGGCCAGGGCTGGAATTTCTGGCCCCACCTCTCCCTGGCTGCATGACCTCTAGCTGGTTATTTCAACTCAGAGCCTCGATTTCAGATCTTGTAAAAAGGAAGGTGAAATGGCTGAATGGGCTAGGCAAGCCCCAACATCGGCTGCCCTACACACAGTGGGTCCTCAGCCATGACCCACTGTGTGTAGGGCAGCCTATGGGTTGGATGAGGACATTCGAGGGCTGGATCACAAGAGGACGTTGCCTGGAACCAGCACTTGCGGTGGGCATGCTGGGCTAAGGGAGACTCCATCTCCAGCCATTTCAGGCCCCATACACGTTGCCCATTACGGGCCCAAGACAAGTGAGTGACAGGTTCAGAGGGCTTCCTGGTGCAGGCATTTAGAGAGCAAGGCATGGAGACAGGACCCAGCACAGTAGGGGGACACTAGGGCCCACGCCCTGCTGGAGCCCCGGGTGCAGGCTGGAGAGCACTGGAAATGCAGGAGGGGACCAGGCTCAGTGGGATCACTAGAGAGCCATGAGAAGTTCTTAGATGGGGGTCAGCGTGGATATTTGGAGCCTTTTCACCTGGGCTGACAAGGGGCTGCAGGGAACAGAGTGCCAGGACCCAGTGATATCCAAGTTCTTTGCCAGGGCTGGAGGGGCAGAGGAGGCCTGTCAGCCACTCCACCCACTCTTCTCACCCATAGGAGGGGGCAGTTCCCACTTCTCAGCCTCACCCATGGACCTGGCCATCTAGGGACCCCTACTCCCTGTCCCAGCCTGGGGGGATTCCCCGAAGGCCCAGGGGGAGGGGACTCCCATCTTCTGTTTTTCCTCCATTTTCTTTCCAGAAAAAATGGAACAATAGCCCAGGCCCCTGCTCCCCACCCTCCCCACCGCTTCCTGCATTTCCTGCTGCCCCTGAGCCGGCTTCCTGCCCCTGCTCCAGCCCCTGCTCCCTCCCTAACCCAGCTGCCTGCAGGGGAGGAAAGAGCTGGGGGTGGAGGAGTTGCCCCTGCTTCCCTCTCAGAGTCTGGGTGGTGGCGGTGAAGGGCAGGCAAGGTGCCCTCAGCCTCTCTGAGCCTGGCATCCAACCTTGCAGACCCCAGTCCTAAGCCCAAGTTGCCGTCTGCGAGATTGGGGTTGGGGGAGTCCCTGAGCTGGGGGGGCACAGGCAGGAAACAATGGCGTGATTTTCCTGGACAATGGGGGCCTTGTGAGGAAGCCTGGCAGGGAGAGGAGGGGGAATTCTCCAGGCCCACGAGTCACAGGACTAACCAGCCAGGCTGGCCTGGGCCTGACCTCCTCTAGTTCTCCCCCAAAAGACCCCCCTTCCCATTTGGAGACCTGACCCAGGCCTCCCAGAAAGGAGAAGTAGGGACCATGGGAGGGAAGCGGAAGAGGTGTGAGCTGCCCAGGCCACTCCTGAGCCCAGCAGAGGCCAGTCTGGGGAGCGGCTGGTGGCCAGGTCTCTTTCAGAGGCCAGGGAGCCCTAAGGCAGTGCTAAGAGGTGGGCCCCAGCCTTGGGATCTCTAGTCCCTTCTCCTGCATGGCCCCTGACCTCCCGTCTACATCAGACACCAGAACAGCAACCCAGGATGGGACGAATTCAAGGCACAGGCAGGCAGCAAGGCAGCTTGGAGAAAAAGCAGGGGATGTGGAGGTGAGGCTGAGGCTTAGCAGGTGTTAGAGTTGGGGGCGGGGAGGTAGCAGAAAGGCCACAAGTACAAAGAAGTTCTGAAACTTTGAGTAAGTTGCTGCCCCTGTCTGGTCCTCAGATTCCCCAACTGACAATGGGGACAGTGGCCACCCAGCCTGAGATTCTGGTAAAGACAGTGTTTTGCCAGTCTGTGGGGTCCCACAAATGGCTAGATACCTGGCCAGGAAGCAGCAAGTGTTGGTCTTCAAGAGGAGAGGTGAGCCTTGGCACCAGCAGAGGTGCCTGTTCCCACTCTGCCCATCTGCCGGCCTGTTGCGGTTCCTCTTTGGAATGAGCTTGTATGGGGCTTACTAAATGGTCAGGTTCGAGCCTCCAGCAGCAGCCTGGAGACTGGTGTGAAGCTGGAAGTTAGGAGTGACAGAGGATGCAGAGGAGAGAGAGGACTCGAAAGATGTGAGTGGTAGAATCTTCAGGACAGCTGGCATTTAGACCACCCCTGCGAGATGGCAGCCCCGGAGCAAAGGCTTTAAAAGCGTGATTTGTTTAATACTTGTAGCAGCTCTCTGAGGTGGGTTTTGTTATCATCTTTAGCTTTACGAACTGTTCAGGACTCAGCCCCGTCTGGCTCAGAGGAGCAGGTGCATTTCAAGACCATTCTCTGAATTAGGAGATACTGCAGGAAAATTTGCTGGGCGCGGTGAGATGGTAAAGGTGGTCACTGAGGGCATACGTACATCAAGTATAGCCGCTGATGGGCAGCTAAATGGACTTCTGTCTGACCTGGAGTTGCAAATGTGGAAGATGCCAGTGGGGAGGGGGAAGCTGGCACCTGGAAGAGGCTGGGACAGCCTGGGGCAGCAGGCAGAATGAGGAGAGGCTGGGCTCTGAGAAGCACCAGCATTGAAATGGCTGGGAGTTGGGGGGTGCATCACAGGAACAGAGCCAAGGGCAGCAGGGAGGGGCTGGGCAGCGGTGCCTGATGCCTCCGCCAGGCCCGGAGGGCTTGGCCAGCAACGGAATTGGGGGTTGTGGCTCTAGGCTCTGAAAATTGAGTGTGAGTACCCTGGTTCTGCCACCTTCTCTGAGAAGTCTTCCCTGACTCACCAGGCTGTGTCAGTACCCTTCCCTCTGCCCCACCCCCAGTACCCTGTGCTGCCCCCATTCCAGCCCTGTCACCCTGGGTAGGAGAGCTGAGGGATGTGCCTGACGCATGTTCAGAAACATAGTTGACTTGGATATCACATCTCCTGTACAATGCAATTGGCTGTAATCAGAAAATAGAGGGGCCCTTCAACCCTTGATGATTCTATGACTTTGTCCTCTTTCTGTTTCTCTAAAACTTCTCTCACTCTAGCCATTTTTATCCTGATAAGAGATTTGCAAGGTGCTGCTTCTCTTCCCTGTACAGAGTATGATAGCCCCATTTGGGATCAAAGCCATGAGCCCCTGCCAAGTCTGACCACCACTCCTATATCTGCCCCAAGCTTCTCTTTTGTGCCCAAACACCATCACTTTCCTCAACCCAACCCTTTCTCTTCCCTTCCAGCTTCATCACTAGGTATCTTTTGGAGTCTTTCCCTCCGAAGTGGCTGCACTAGCCACAATGTGATATGGGCACTGGGGCCTGTGGTACCTGCTGGGCTTCTTTTTTCACCACGGGCTTCCCTCCTGCTCCCCACCCCCATGTGCATTCTGATTCACACTCCTGCCTCAACAAAATGACAAGACACTCATGGATTTCTCTGGAAATCAAAGCCATAAATGCTGAGAGCCTGCCACATTGCCAGTTTTTATTCAGTGTAGTATTAGGGAAAAGTTAGAAAAAATTACCCAGGCGTGGTGGCACGTGCCTGTAGTCTCAGCTACTCCAGAGGCTGAGGCAGGAGGATTGCTTGAGCACAGGAGTTAGTTACGACTGCACCACTGTACTCTAGCCGGGGTGACAGAGGGAGACCCTGTCTCTAAAACAAAAAGTTAGAATGCTACCTTTGGAGCCACACAGACTAGGTTGGAATCTCTGCATTATTTGCTATATGATCTCAGCCAAGTCATTTCCCTACACAGTTTCCTCATCTGTAAAATGGGAATACTATTATCAACCTCATGGATTTGTTTGAGTACTAGGGCTGAGTGTAAAACGTGTGGTCTCCAGTAGACCCTCAGAAAATGTGTATCAGTGTTGTTATTCTTGTCTGATTCTACTCTGCCCCCAACTCTCCAGGGCAGGATCTAGACCCATTTACCTCTGTGCCTAGCCAGAATGTCTGTCAGATGACAATTTGTTCCCAGATCTTTCCCTGTCCCTACCACCTCATCCTGGAGCATCCATAATCCTGCCCCCCTTCTTCCCTAGTTCTGCTGCTGCAGCCCATTGAGGGTGACGACATGGAGCACAAGACCCTGAAGATCACAGACTTTGGCCTGGCCCGAGAGTGGCACAAAACCACACAAATGAGTGCTGCAGGCACCTATGCCTGGATGGCCCCCGAAGTTATCAAGGCCTCCACGTTCTCTAAGGGCAGTGATGTCTGGAGGTGCGGCCCTGGTGGGGGCTGGACAGGGTCTGCTATGGGGCTGCAGAGGGCAGAGGTGGCTGCCTAAGTCTAGGGCTGGGCAGACAGGCGGAACCATTTAGTTTCTGGTTGCTTTGCGGTGAAGTGGCAGTAAATGGGCACAGGAAGGGACACAGACCCTTTGTCTCACCCACAGCTTTGGGGTGCTGCTATGGGAACTGCTGACTGGGGAAGTGCCCTACCGTGGCATTGACTGCCTTGCCGTGGCCTATGGCGTGGCTGTTAACAAGCTCACACTGCCCATCCCATCTACCTGTCCCGAGCCCTTCGCACAGCTCATGGCCGGTAAGGGGACAGGACGGGGCGGGTGCGGGGCAGAGCTCCCTGGCCCAGGACGCATGCACCCACAGACCCCCTTCTTACTCTGTCTCCCCTCCACGCCGTGCACATAGAGTGCTGGGCGCAGGACCCCCACCGCAGACCCGACTTCGCCTCCATCCTGCAGCAGTTGGAGGCGCTAGAGGCACAGGTCCTACGGGAAATGCCGCGGGACTCGTTCCATTCCATGCAGGAAGGCTGGAAACGCGAGATCCAGGGCCTCTTTGACGAGCTGCGGGCCAAGGAAAAGGTTCGAGGAGGCGAAGGGCCCAGGTTGGAAGAGTTGGGGCGGGCGCCGGGGTCAGTGCCAGGCTGACCCACCCACCGCCTTCACTGTCCCGGACGCAGGAACTACTGAGCCGCGAGGAGGAACTGACTCGCGCGGCGCGCGAGCAGCGGTCACAGGCGGAGCAGCTGCGGCGGCGCGAGCACCTGTTGGCCCAGTGGGAGCTAGAGGTGTTCGAGCGCGAGCTGACACTGCTGCTGCAGCAGGTGGACCGCGAGCGGCCGCACGTGCGGCGCCGCCGCGGCACTTTCAAGCGCAGCAAGCTCAGGGCGCGCGACGGCAGCGAGCGCATCAGCATGCCACTCGGTAAGGGGCGGGCCCGGGGACACCGCCCCGCCATTGGCTGCGTGGGCGGGTGCTGCCCGTATTGTGATTGGCTTAGGGTGTTGGTGGGTGGGCCCGCGAGCTGAAGGCTAGGAGGGGTGGGACCAGGAGTGTTTTTTCTGTCTGTGGGCGGGTTCTGGCGGAATATTTGCATGTCCGTCTGGGAGTGGCTGCGACCGGGAAGGGGCGGGGCTCATGAAAGTTCTGGGAAGGCCTTGGGGGCGGGGCGGGGCCGGCACGCAGGATCTCCGACTCCGCTGTGCTCCAGGTGGTGGGGTCCAGCCCATTGGCCCTCCTTATTCAGAGCCTGGGTCCCAGGAAGGCAGTGAGGCTGGCCCCAATCACACAGCCACCGTGCCACTGCCTGCGTGGCCTGGTGGGCCGAGGGCCCTTGCAGGTTAGGGTTCTGGCTCTTCTTCACCACAAACCTACACCCTGCCTCCCCCCACCCAAACCCCAGATTTCAAGCACCGCATCACCGTCCAGGCCTCCCCCGGCCTTGACCGGAGAAGAAACGTCTTCGAGGTCGGGGCCGGGGATTCGCCCACCTTCCCGCGGTTCCGGGCCATCCAGTGTAAGAAACCCCACCCCCCCACCACCCTTCCCCCACACCCCCTATCCTCTGTCAAACCTCATCCTTGAAGGTGGATCCCACCAAGTGTCTCCTCCCCTTCTTCCTCCTCCCCAGGCTCCCTAACCTATGTGTCTAGACTGTTACCTCTAAGTTCTCCAAGCAGTATTTATTTTACTTATTTTTTTAGTCAGACAATTGCATGACACTACATATTAATTTAATTCCTCGCAATAATTCTCTTAAGTAGTTTATTGTTTAAGTTTTATAGATGAGCAAAGTGAAAAAGGTAACTTGCTCCACATCTAATAAATGGCAGAGCCAGAATCTAAACCCAGACAGTTGGTGTCAATGTCTGCACTACTAAGCAGCAAATGTCAGCCGAAGGACTAGATGAGATGCCCCACCCCACTGCTGGCCCAGGACCCATCTATCTTGCCCAAAGCCCACACTGGGAATAGTATGCGGCCCAGCCTGCTCCCTGTCTTCTAAAAGTTGCCCCTGAAGTTTGACTCTCATTATGGGCAGAGGACAAGGGTCAATTGAGATTCCATTGGTTTCCCCCGCCATAGTGGAGCCAGCAGAACCAGGCCAGGCATGGGGCCGCCAGTCCCCCCGACGGCTAGAGGACTCAAGCAATGGAGAACGGCGAGCTTGCTGGGCCTGGGGTCCCAGTTCCCCCAAGCCTGGGGAAGCCCAGAATGGGAGGTGAGTGTCCCCCACCCTAGCATTGTCTGCCTTTCCCCAGTCCTGAGATTCATGAAGCGTCCCTTCTTCACCCTCCCTTCACCAGGAGAAGATCCCGCATGGATGATGCCACGTGGTACCTGGATTCAAATGACTCCTCCCCCTTAGGATCTCCTTCCACACCCCCAACACTCAACGGTGAGTGGCCTTGCCTCCCCCCAGCAGCGGGGAGCTCCTTCTGTGGTCATCTTGGGGAGGCCATGAGAGGACAGCAGACAGAGCAAGAATCCTACCCTGATTGTTCTCAGTCTGGAGACTGGGAAACTGAGCCTGAGACAGGACAGGGCCAGTCCTAGAACCCAGGTCTGACCTACAGGCCCACAATCAAGCTGCAGACAGCCCAGGCCTCCGGGGGCCCAAAGCCTAGTCCCCCTGTTCAGACCCAGCCTGCAAGAGGGCTCTGTCCTGGCCCTGTGGTAGCCCCTGTGCCCTCAGCAGGCTCTTGGGAGAAAAGGAAGAAAGAATGGTACCCCCATGTGTTACCCAAAGGAAGAGAAATCCCCAGAGAGGGAAAGGAAACCACTCATGTGGGGTGGAGCCAGCCAAGTGCTACACTGTGCTTCTCAGAGCCCCTTCTGGGGAGCCTGCAGGTGGAGAAGAGAGTAAGATGGCCGAGCAGGCAAGGATCCCGAGCCCATTCTCACCGCACCCAGGGCAGTTCAGGGCTTCTATTCCATCCAAGTATCAACCCTGTGAGGGAGGTGCTGTTATTATCCCCATTTTAGAAATAAGGAAACTGAGACTCTGAGATGTGAAATAACTTACCTAAGACCCCCAGCTGAGGATTTGAACCCAGAGAAAGACTTCAGCTCCCATGCTCGTGGTGAACTTCCTCGGAAGCTTTCACCTAAAGAAAGGGTTTCTCACATACAAGCTGCTCAGAAGGCTGGAGGGTCGGGCCAAGAGCAGGGCTCAGATGTCAGAGGGATGAGGGTTCAGTGCAACGCTGCTCAGCCTTGGCAGGGGCTAGAAGGTTATGCCCTCCCTTGCTTGGGAGTCCCTGTGCCAACCCAGGGACCATTTTTGGAGCCCCCAGGACTACCTGCTGCTCACAGCCAGCATACAAGACCCGCGTAGCTGCTTTCAGACCAGAGTCCTGTTCAACAAACAATTTAGACTGCTCCCACCCCACCCAGCCAATCACATCCACCATTGCCTGAGCTACATCTGACAGTAATAACACCAAGGAAGGTTTACTGGGTCTCTCCTATGTACTAGACAATTCTTTGAGGTGGGTATTATTATTAGCAAATTTTACAGTGGAGGAAACTGAGGCACAGAGAAGTTACGAGGTTTGAGGGAAGGCACCCAGCAGAGCAGAGATTTGAACTGAGATCTGACTCCAGAGGCAGGGCCCTGGACCCCAGTGCCCCACCATCTTCCGCTCCAGCAGTTGTATCGCCCACGCTAGCTGTGCTGCTGGGACTAAACTGAGAATTGGAAGACCAAGGGGGCTTCTTGGATTCACCTGCTCTAGAATGCACCAGGCCAGAAGGGTCAATGGAGAACTTGAGGTCCTGTCAACCCAGGTGTGTAGGTCAAAGCAGCCCCAACCATGTTTTACAGAGCCCTTTGGCCTTGCCCTCCCTAAGCTCCCAGGGACAGAGACACAGGGCCTGACCCCTATCCTTCTCAAGCGTGTCCCTTTACCTGAAAAGACATCACTTGCCCCAGCCCAGTTGCTGGCTAAGCCCAGACCCACACTCTAGCCACCATCTGGGGCCATGAGAATACATGTCCTTGACCTTGCAACCACCCACAGAGTCAGAAACCTGGCTGAGAATCAAAGAATAGGACCTCATAGAGGTCCCAGACCCTGTGAGATTGTCCCAGGCGTAAGCCACACCATCGGGGAGCTACATCTCCCATCTACCCAGCTTGTCCCCTGCTGGGTGTCCTGGCCCCTAGAGAACTGGTTGCAGTGAGTTGCACATTGGCAGGGCTTGTTCACCCTACACTGACAGAGACCGCCCTGCGAACCTTGTTGCCCTGGAGTCACCAGCCACCACATGGCCATGTCCTCTCCATGAGGCCCCATGGAAGCAATTTCACCTTTATCTCTGGGTCAAGAATGGTCATGCTGCTTTCTCCTAAACAACAGGGTTGCCAACTCTTTCTGCCAGGAAACTTGGAGGCAAATTCAAATCCTAGCTGAATTACCTCGGACAAGTCACTTACCTCTGGGAACCTCAGTTTCTCAAGCCATTGACTGCAGGAATTTCTTTTCACTCTCATTTTGTGTGCTAGACTCTATCTTCTCTTCCTTTGTCTTATTTCTCTTGCTTATTATATTTTTATTTTTTGTTTTATTTTTATTTATTTTTTTAGAGACAGGGTCTCACTCTATCACTCCACCCAGGCTGGGTGTAGTGGTGCGATCATAGCCCACTGCAGTCTCAAACTCCTGGGCTCAAAGGATGCTCCTGCCTCAGCCTCCCAAGTAGGTGGAAGTACAGGCGCACACCACCACGCCCAGCTGATTTTTTTTTTTTAAAGACGGGGTCTCGCTATGTGCCTAGGCTAGTCTTGAACTAGCCTCAAGTGATCCTCCCACATTGGTCTCCCAAAGTGCTGAGATTACAGGCGTGAGCCACCACACCTGGCCCTCTCTTGCTTATTTTATTTATTTGTTTTTGTTTGGTTGGTTTTTTGTTGTTGTTTTGGGGATTTTTGTTTTGGGTTTTTTTTGTTTGTTTGTTTTGTTTTGTTTTTTGAGACAGGATCTTGCTCTGTCACCCAGGCTGGGGTACAGTGGCGTCATCGTAGCTCACTACAGCCTCAAACTCCTGGGCTCAAGTGATCCTTCTTCCTCAGCCTCTCGTGGGTAGCTGGGCTACAGCTACTGCAGGCGAGCACCACTACACCCAGCTTACTTTTCTATTTTTTGTAGAGATGGGGTCTCACTCTTGGTCAGGCTGATCTCGAACTCCTCAGCCTCCCAAAGTGCTAGGATTACAGGCATGAGCCACTGTACCTGGCCCTCTCTTGCTTATTTTAAGCATGCTTTCCTCTTCTGTTTCAACTCACTGTAAATGATCAGTTTCTTCACCTGTGAAATGGGGCTGGTAACAATCACCTTGTGGTTAGTGCAAGGATTATATGAATGGATTCTTCCATCCAACAGGAATTTTATGAGCCAGGCAGCAGCATGTTAGCAATCAACACTGCCCTGGGCTCGGGCACGTCCTAGTCTGGCGGTAGAGGCAAACTGATAAATAAACAAGTACAGCAGAGCCTGTGTAAGACACAACATGAGCAATAACTGGACAGTTTCGGGGGGATTCTAGGAAGGTTTCCCGGAGGAGGTGATATCTCAGCCGGGTCTGGGTGGTGATAAGAAATCACTGAAAGCTGCAATAGGAGAGGTGAGCTGGGCAGAGGGAGTGACGCATGCACAGGTATGGGGCTCACCAGACCTGAGGAGGAGGAAACCTGGCTGAACTCAGAGAAGACCTGAGAGCCAGCGAGTGTCAGGCCTAAGGCAGTGGTCGTAGGCCGGGCCTGTGTGCATCCTTTGCACACAGATCAGTAGATGTTTGTTGAATGAATAAATCAGTGAAGCTGGAAAAGTAGGCAGAAGCCAGTTCAGGAAGGGCCTGGAAATGATAGATGGTTTTTAAGTACAGACCTGCTCTTAGCAGGTTTGCATTTTAGAAGGATTCCCTTGGCCCTTGAGTGGCAATGCCCAAGGGTGGGCATGAGATAAGATAAGAGGCAGAGAGTCTGAGTAAGGGTTGTGGCTGACAAAGGGGACTCTGAGCTACGTTCTGGTTCATAGTAGAAGCTCACTTTTCCCAGCCTTGCATGTCTTCCTCCTGACACCCACCCCCAACGCTCTGCTCCAGGCAGGCCCACTCCCTTCCTGGCCCACGGAGGAGGGAAAGGCAGAAGCAGCAGGGCCAGGGAGGGCATTGAAAGCCCTGCCAAGGAGGCCAGACTGTCTTCTAGTGACGGTGGAGAGCCATGGCAGGTTCTGGAGCCAAGAACAGAATTGGGATCTAACAAAATTGGGGCTTATAGGAGGCCATCCTAGACCCCCCCACCTCCTCCATAATGACAGGATCTCCAACCCCACCCCAGGTGGTCTAAAATGGAGTCAGGCCAACCCTAGGCTTGAAGATAGGACACCGAAATCTTGAAATCTAGGGAGGAGTCTGGTCGGGAAGTGGTGGAGAGCAAAGGCTCTGCTGCCCCTGTCTGGGTGAGGCCAGCTCCGTCCCTCCCTGGCTGTGCAGCTTTACGCGAGCCCTTTTCCCCTCTGAGCCTGGAATGCCTGGGGTGTGGAGATCAGACAACATAACACCCCTAAATCAGCTCAGGCCTGGCACAAATACTCGCTCTATAAACCAGCTGTGACTATGTGCAAGGCACTATCCCTCTGAGCCTCAGTTTCCTCATTTCTGGAATAGGGACAGTGATGTGTGCCCTCGGGGCTGTTGAAGTTCACTTGCGTGCTTCCTGTAAGCTACAGCTGGAGTAGGGGCTGATGGGCAGAAGGGTCAGGGCTGCCAAGCCAGGAAGGGGTGGGCACGGAACACAGGGTGCTGGTCCCAGTCAGTGGGGCCAGCCCTGCTCCTGGGCCTGGAGGTTGCCCCTGACTGACCATTGAAGCCACTGAGGCCCGTTGTGATCTGGCCTCAGCCTGCCTCCTCTTGGGCCCCTGTGTTGTCGTCTGTGGGCTCCAGGGCCCCTGGCTGCCTCCCAGGCTTTGCTCCTGCTGGTTCCTCAGCCTGTACTGCCCTCCCTGCAGCCCCCATCTTGTGAAAGGCTGCAGTGTGGGTGGGGTGTGTGATGGGGGAGGCTCAAGTGGACAGGGAGGAGCTGGGCTGGGGACCAGGGCAGATGCTGGTGGGGCGTAGAATGTAGTCCTTATTCCATGGCCACTGAGGGGGTCCCCAGAGCCCCTACCCAGAAGACGCAGCCTAACCTGTGCCATCCCTGGCCGCAGGTAACCCCCCGCGGCCGAGCCCAGAGCCGGAGGAGCCAAGGCGACCCAGCCCAGCAGAGCGCGGCAGCAGCTCCGGGACGCCCAGGCTGATCGAGCGCGCATTGCTGCGCGGCACCGCCCTGCTCGCCTCACTGGGCCTGGGCAGAGACCTGCAGCCACCAGGGGGCCCAGGCCGCGAGCGTGGGGAGCCCCCGCCAATGCCTCCCACACCAGTGCCCACGCTGTGCCCCGCCGAGCTTCCCCCTTCCCCGCTCGTGCGCCTCTTGCCCAAGACGCCTGACACCCCACCCACCCCTGCGCCCCTGCTGCTGGACCTGGGTGTCCCTGCGGGCCAGCGGTCAGCCAAGAGCCCCCGGCGCGAAGAGGAGATGCGCGGTGAGTGGCCCGGAGACTGGCCTGTTGCCCGGATGCAAGATGGGGGCCACCAGAGGAGGGGAAGTGGCTGGGGGGCATATGCAGGGTGTCAAGGCTGGGGCCACAGCCGAGTGCTGGACCCCTAACTGGGCTCTACAAGGCCTTGAGGAGCATGTAGGGAGCTGAGTTCTGAGTTCAGCTGGTGGTCAGGGACAGGGTGCGGCTGGGTTAGGCCAGTTGTGAAATAAGGGAAGTAATAATAATAATAATAATATACTGTTGCTAGCGAATGCCCATTGGCTGCTCACTGTGCCAGGCACTGCGGCGCTTTAGAGAGATTGCCTAGTGTAATTATCATAACCACCTGTGAACTAAGTGCTCTTACGATACCTTTTTTTAGATGAGAAAATTTAAGACACAGAGATTAAGGGACTCACAGCTCCCACAACTAGTAAGTGGCAGGGCTGGGGTCCAGGTCTATGCAGGTGTTCTCCACAGGCCTCGCTCTTAACTGCTATGGAATAAACACATGCACCACAGGTCTTGAAGGGCCAAGGAGACTGAGTCAAGTAGCTCGCTGTGCAGATGGGGAAACTGAGGCCCAGAGGAGGGCAGTGCCTTCTGGGGACACCTAGAAGTTCCTGGCTGCCTGACCCTGTGCCCTTCCCATGTTCTCACAGGAGGCACTGTCTCACCCCCACCAGGGACGTCACGCTCCGCTCCCGGCACCCCAGGCACCCCACGCTCACCGCCCCTGGGCCTCATCAGCCGACCTCGGCCCTCACCCCTTCGCAGCCGCATTGACCCATGGAGCTTCGTGTCAGCTGGGCCACGGCCTTCACCCCTGCCCTCACCACAGCCTGCGCCCCGCCGGGCACCCTGGACCTTGTTCCCAGACTCGGACCCGTTTTGGGACTCCCCACCTGCCAACCCCTTCCGGGGAGGCCCCCAGGACTGCAGGGCGCAGACCAAAGACATGGGTGCCCAGGCTCCATGGGTGCCAGAGGCAGGGCCTTGAGTGGGCCAGGCCACTGCCCCACGCTCCAGCCACCTAGAGGAGCCACAGCATACACTGGAATGGGAGCCAGGCCAGCCTCTAGCTGCCTAGGTTTCCCCCAGGGACTCCACCCCCCTTTGGGGGTCAGGAACACTACACTGCACAGGAAGCCTTCACACTGGATGGGGGGCCTGCACCCGCCACACCTGCAACCTGTAGGTCCCCCTGACTTACCTGCCCCCCACTGGGGCCCAACACTGTACCCAGCTGGTTGGGAGGACCAGAGCCTGTCTCAGGGAATTGCCCCCAGGGGTGGTGCAGGGAGGAGGGGAGGTGCAGGGGAGAGGGGCTGGCCTCAGCTATCACCAGCACTTTTGACCAAGTCCTGCTACTGTGGCCCCTGCCCCAGGGCTTAGTGCCTAGGTCCCCCTGTTCTGGGGGTCTCCTGGGGCCAGGGCTCTCTGGGTGCCTTCCTGCTGCCCCAGCCAGGGTTGGGGCCTTAGCCTTGGGATCCAATGAAGCCAAATAAACTCTTAAGCTGTCTCCCCAAATGCAGCCTGTCATCTTTCTTGGAGGTAACCAGGAAACCCACCTTATCACGTGACCTTGGTATCCTCATGGTCCCCACCTCCTGCACATTGGGCAGTTGGCCTGGGCCTAGGCTGGGTTACCTTGCACTGCACCCTTCTCCTGGGACCAAGTCCATTGACCTTGGTCAATCATTTAAGCCCCTCCTCAGGCTCCCCTACACCCACGCACGCTGGCCTCACCCGCCTCTCCCTTGCCAGGGCCTCCCTGCTCCACATTGGCACGTGCCGTTCCCACCATTCAGGACCATTTGCCCTGATCCTCCCTGTTGCTGGGTACTCCCTGCTTATCCTCTGGGCCCAGCTACAACATCACCCCCAACCCAGGACACCTTCCCTGGCCATGCTGTCCCCACCCAGGTGGCTCTCTGAGCTCAGGAGCCTATAGTTCTCTGGGTTTCCCTGGCTCTGTCTCAGAGCCCCGCGGTCTGGATACATGAAGAATAAGCTCCACCCACCTCTACAAGGCGACCTACCATGGCACCTGGCACACCGACAATGCCCTTGACACTGCCATGGGGGTTCTGTGGGCGAGCACTCCCACACGGTGCCCTGGGGCTCAGCTCCTCCATGGTTACAGTGGTTACAGGAGTCGGAGCCCGGGCTCCCCACTCCCCCAGCGCCCCGTGGCAGCCAGGCTCTGTGTCTGCAGTTCAGCAGCGTGGGGGCCAGGAGGGCAGACACAAAGCTGCTCAGGAAGGCCCATGAGTGAAGGCTGGAGCGTCGTCTGTCCAGGATGGTCTGGCATCCTGAGTTCTCTCTTTACCTACCACCGCCGCTCCCACCTGATCCATCCCGAGTGCCACCACCCCCTCCCACTCCACTGCCGAGGCCGCCGCTGTTCCATCTGGGATGCCTGCGGAAGCCCCCTTAGGTCTCCTGGGCCACACTTGTCCTTAACGGCCTGTGTCCTTGCCCTCCCCCACCCCACCGCAGCCAGCCCCCCTGTTCTTCCCACACCCCAAGCTCATTCCCACCTTGACTAGCATCTTCTTGTTCCTCAGCTGAAGTGTCACCTCCTCAGAGGAGCTTCCCCAGGAAGACACCCCTCCCCTGAGAAGTCTCCTGTTACCCCGGGTGTTCCTTTCACGGAACTTAGGATAGCATGACGTCATGCTTCTTTGCTAATAGCAGAGGTTTCTCGCGTGAAAACCAGGAGGGAAGGGGCCTGTGTCTATCTTCCCCAGTGTTCTCAGGGCCTAAACAGCTGTTGAGTGAATGAGTGGGGTCTGGGTGTCCGGGTAAGCATGACCTTGAATAAGTGCGAGGCCCTCTCTAGGCCTGGCTTCCTGCCCTGTCGGCACCCCCACCGCAGCCTTCTTCTGCGCTGCCCCCACCGTCCCAGCTGCGGTGAGATGTGGTTGCTCCAGAACCTGATGGAGGTGCTCCAGCTCGCCTTCCTCCCCTTCACACTCGCCCGGGCTGCGTCCCAGCCACCCACGCAGCACCTCCTCCCAGCCCCACCCTGCCGGCCCCGCCCAGGTGCCTGTGGTGGCGCAGCCAGCTCCCACAGCACCCCAGACTCAGGCACGCACCATGGGGGTTCTAAGGCCCTGGGCCCGATACTGCCTCCTGGTTGTGGCCCACCTGCTGGCCCTGGGGCTTGGGGCTGTGGTGCTCCAGGCCCTGGAGGGGCCTCCAGCACTCAGACTCCAGGCTGAGCTCAGGGCTGAGCTGGCCACCTTCCAAGCCAAGCATGGGGCCTGCCTGGCCCCCGGAGAACTGAAGGAGCTGCTCAGTGCTGCCCTGGCAGCTCAGGCCCACGGGGTCTCCAGCCTGGGCAACAGCTCGGAGGACAGGAACTGGGATCTGCCCTCGGCCCTGCTCTTCACTGCCAGCATCCTCACCACCACGGGTAAGGCCACCAGGCAGCCCCATTGGAGGGGGCTCCTGAGGCCATCACTCCCTGGGGTTCCTGGGTGTGCGACACTCTTCCCCCAGCCCCAAAGTGCCAGACAGAGCCCGAGCCCTATCAGGCCTGACATCACAGCTGGGGTTCCCCACACCAACACACCCCAACTGGTGCCTCCACTTCAGCTGCCAGGAGGGGTGTGGCCTTCCCAGCCCCACCCCCAGGCACCCTTGGAGACCCAGGAGAGGTGCCCAGATCCCTACCTGACACAAGGCAGGGACCACAGTACAGTGGGATGGACTCTCAGATGGAGGGAAATGGAAGGAACCTGGGAAGCACAGACCACGACCACAGGCTCAGGAGGGGAGTAAGGGAAGACTTCTTGGCTAGGAAGTCCTGAGGACATGCTAGCAAGGACAAGAGAGCACAGACATGAGGGATGAAGGAATTCCTGGCAGAGGAACAGCGTGCACATAGGCCCAGAGAAATAGCACAAGGGGGCCACAGCCCTGGTTTTTTTGTTTTGTCCTGCAAAGTACCTAAATATTTTTTGAATTGAAGTCTGTATTTCCAACTTCTTTTGGAAAATCAGGAAACCTATTCACTCTGACCCAGAATCCTCCAAGGCAACACTGGCTGCAGCGGAGCGGGGCCTGCCCCTTGGGCAGAGCACATCCTCTCTGGTCCACCCCAGTCCTCACCATTCCCTCGTCTCACATCTGCCTCCTGTAGGCATTTCAGTGTGCAGCCTCCAGACTAGCTGACCCCGCTCTCCAGCACACCCTGATCGCCCACCTCGCCCCACCCTGCACGGGTGCTGCTGGCCTCACACGTCCTCTCTCCTGTGTGCTGCCTCTGTGCGGCTCTTCACATCAAACGTCAAGACTGATTTTCCTGCCTGCCTCCCCTACCCAAGGGCAGGGCCTGGGCAAACTCAGATTCCAGCACGAGGCCTGGCACACAGGCTGATGCGACACATATTTGAGGAATGGAAAAGCGGGTGACATTGCACTGGCTGTGGATTTGGAGATACTTGGAAGTACTTAGAAGAGCAGAGCTGAGGAATCCCTCAGAGAGTCCGGATCTCTCTGGGGCAGGACAGCAGTACTCAGAATTGCCCCAGCTGCAAAACGCCTGAAGTACTGTCTTCTTTAATCCTTTCATTTTCCAGAAAAGAAAAGAGTGGCCCAGAGAGGTTAAGGGACTTGCCCAGGATCCCCAGTAAAGGAAGAGGAGAGCCAGATAGAATACGGGCCCAAACAGTTCAGGCAATTTTGGCCACCAGGGGGCAGCCTTCTGCAGGAGGCGATGTTGGGGGATGTGGAGACCCCAGCAGGCAGCCCACTCAAGAGCTCATTGCCCACTGTCTCTTTCTTCTCCAGGTTATGGCCACATGGCCCCACTATCAGCAGGTGGAAAGGCCTTCTGCGTGGTCTATGCGGCCCTGGGGCTGCCAGCCTCCCTAGCACTTGTGGCTACCTTGCGCCACTGCCTGCTGCCTGTGCTCAGCCGCCCGGGTACCTGGGTAGCAGCGCACTGGCAGCTGGCACCCAGCAGGGTTGCATTGCTGCAGGCAGCTGGACTGGGCCTGCTGGTGGCCAGCATCTTTGTGCTGCTGCCAGCACTGGTGCTATGGGGTGTGCAGGGAGACTGCGGCCTGCTGGAGGCCATCTACTTCTGTTTCAGCTCACTCAGCACCATCGGCCTGGGGGACTTGCTGCCCAGCCATGGCCGTGGTCTGCATCCAGTAATTTACCACCTCGGTCAGCTCGCACTTCTTGGTGAGTCTGGCTGCCCAAGTGTGTCAGGGAGGAAGGAGGAGGGGCCTGGACTAGGACTCCCACCACTCGCTGGGGGCTGAGCCTCACAGGTGGAGGGATCCTACCAGAGCGCGTGGTGTGGGACTTGTAGTCCAAAGAGACCTGATGGCAGGGTTAAGAGAGGTATGAGTGCCACCGGGTGCCAAGGTGGAGAACCAGGCTGGGAGGTGGGGGAAGCATCGTCAACACCCCAAGAGCTGCCCGAGCAACCTCTCCTCCCCAGGTTACTTGCTCCTAGGCCTCCTGGTCATGCTGCTAGCTGTGGAGACATTCACGGAGCTGCCACAAGTCCGTGCCATGGTGAAGTTCTTCGGGTGCAGTGGCCCTTTGACTGCTGAGGACCAAGGTGGCATCCTAGTCCAGGATGAACTGGCTCTGAGCACCCTGCCGCCCACAGCCCCAGCCTCAGAACAGGCCCCAGCTTGCTGACAGGTGTCAGGTGACCAAGTCCAGCTGCTTTAAGGTGGAGGAGCAGGAAGGAAGCAGCCAGGAGTGGTTGGGGAAGAATCTGGAGATAGGGGTGGGGTGGATGTGAAGACCTCAAGGAATCATGTGTTAATTTAAAAAAAATAAAATGGGCAAGAACTTCGACTGTGTTTTCGTGTCTTCGTTTGAATGTGGCTTCTCTACAGCCATTGGCCATCATCCTTGAAAGGCCAGGTCCAGCCTCAGCTCTTCTGGGAACCTCAAAGCCGGCACAGCCCCGCTAAGGTTCGCCAGCCAACCTTCCCGGCCTAGGCCCCACGGTCTTCCATCCATTGAGGTCCCAGGTTGTGCAGAGAAAGGGCTGGCTCTGGTGTACCCTTGTCCAACTTTATTGCGCGTCAAAACAGGACGGGGAGGAGGGCGGGGGCGGCGGTCCCCGGGCCGTCCCTCTTCACGAGACTCGCGGGGCCGGGCCCTGCCGTCGCGGAGGGGCTCCGCGCGGCGCGCCCGGGACCCCAGCCCACCGCGGACACGCGCACACGCCTACAGGCAAATAAATACAGCGCGGCCACCCGGCCGCTCCCGTCCGTCGGGCTGAGGGGCTGCCTCCCCCAACCAGCTCCAGGAAGGGACGACCCCTGGCGGCCGTGCCCACCGTCGGTGGGGCCGGTCCTGCGCGGCGCAGGCCGGGCGGCGAGCGAGGCTGCGGTCTGAGCCGGTGGGGAGCGGCGAAGGCCTCCGGGGCCTGCGCGACCTCAGCTCAACGTGCAGCGTTCGCGCCGGCTGAGCTGCCGGCTCAGCTTGCGGCGCCGCTGCTCCAGGCCGCGCTCCAGGCGCTCGTCCTCCTCCAGGGCGCTGGGAAGAACGGGTTCGAGTCAGCGGCAGCGGGTCCAGCTCGAAGCCACACCGAGCACCCTTCGGGAGCCCGCCCCAGGCCCGTCCCCAGCTCCCTGCGCCGTCGGCCCCACTCACATCCGCTCCTTGTGGTCCAGATCCCTGACCAACTCGTCGCGCTGGTTCACCAGCGACACCAGCTCCTCCAGCAGGAGCTGCTCTCGGTGCTGCTGCGCGGCCGTTTTCTGCCAGTCTGAGGGCGGAGGTGGCTGAGGGTCAGGACGCGCTGGCCCCGGCTCTGTCCTGCCTCCCGCCCCTCTGGCCCCGTCTCCCACCTTCGATGGCCAGCATGGCCCGCAGCTCTCGGCTCAGCAGCTCGAACCTCCGCTCCAGGTCCTGCTCCTCGATGCTGGGAGGTGGAGGCGCCAGGTCAGGGAAAAGGGGTTAAGGAGAGAGTGCCCAGAGAGGGCTCCGGCCATTTCCTGGTCCCATCCCACCTCCCCATAAGTTCCCATGGAGAGCAGGGCTCTCTGCAGAGCTATATTCCAGTCCCCAGGCGGAATGTTCTCTTTTGTTCCAAATGTTCTCCAATTGCTGCATGTTTATGTTGTCTCCCTCAATTCACCTTTTTTTTTTTTTTAGACATAGTCTCAAGGGAGCCGCCTGCCTCAGCCTCCTAAGTAGCTGGGACTACAAGTCCCTGCCACAATGCCCAGCTAAGTTTTCTACTTTTAGTAGAGACAGGGTCTCGCTCTTGCTCAGGCTGGCCTTGAACTCCTGAGCTCAAGCGATCTTCCCACCTCAGCCTCCCAGAGTGCTAGGATTATAGGCGTGAGCCACCCCTTTTGAAAAATAAGAACCCAGGGCTGGTCCAATGGCAGTGAATTATCAGAACTTATTAACATTAGTGTCACTAAAGTTGGCATATAACACCCCACTGCTAAATTTGACTGGCTTTAAAAAAAAGAAAAGAAAAGAAACCCAGAAGGATTATTTGGATGAACATTATTCATAAACAGGAAGTATGACACCAAAATTATTCTGCAAAATGATCCCAAATGCAAAAGGGAGGCAAAGCCTCTCCCATGCAGGATGGTAAAGGCAATGACCTCAGAGAGTTGCTTCTGACCCCAGTGGGCCCCGGCTCACCTCTCTCTCTGGGCTTCACTATTCCTTACCGTAAAGGAACAGGGTCAAACTACGGGCCCCAGCCCTGACCTTCCTGGGCCACATTTTGCTCTGGGCCTTGGTTTTCTCATGAATAAAAATAGTAACAATTTGGGAAGTTTACACTTTACACAGGAAAGTGGATAGGACCAAAAATGAATAACATGGCTCAGCAATAATTTTTCAAAAAGATCTTTGTAGAAAGAAGAAAGCAATGAATAACTCTAAGCAAAGTAGCTAAGATTCCCTCTGCTCCCCAGCCCTGGGCCAGCTACAGGGCAGCACTCACAGCAGCTGCAGCTGGTCCTGCCTCCGGATGAGAGCGTTCTTCTTGTTGACCAGGGTGAACCACTCCTGGATCAGCACCTCCTCCTGCAGCTTGTTGGCACCTGAATCGGGCAGGGATAGTCACCAGGCCCACCTCCTGACCCCAGTGTCAGAGCAGGGCAGTTGGGGTTGAGGCAGGAGGCTTGCTCCCTGGTGGCATGCCAGAAGCCAGAGCTTTGTGCTTCCGGCAAGCTGTTTCGAGGCCTCAGCATGCCCAGCTGTAGCATGGGAACCCTGACCCCAACTGTGCCTCCTCCCAGCTCCTCCCAAGGTCAGGAAGAGCTGTGGGGCCGGGCAGACCTAGGGGCACTTGTTGGGGAATGGGCTGGATGGCTGCCCCACCTGACTCCATGAGGCTCCTCAGCTGCGTCTCCACCTCAGCCGCACGCCCATCTATCTGCCTCTGTTCCTGTTCCAGGGCCTGTAGCTCTGCACACACGTACTGACTTGTGTCCTGGAACCGTTGCTGGGGCCAGAAAGAGAGGCAGGGGACAGGGTGGACTCAACCCAGGCCTTGCCTAGGAAGTGCCCACCCATCAGCTCCACCCCACCTACCCCTCCTTACCAGCCCAGCCTCCTCTCCTGGGCTTGGGGGTGGCTCCTCTGATGGGGGACTCCCACCTGCAGAGAGAGGCCTAGCTAAGACACCCCCAGCTGACACCTGCCCCCAAGAAGTCCCCAGTCTCAGGATTTGTGAGCAGCCTGAGCTGAGCTGGTCACCACCGCCATTGCTACTCACCAGGGGTCTGTTGAGAGGCTGTGGCTGTGGGTGGGCCAGGCACAGGGCTGGGGTCAGGGCCCAAGCCTTCCTGTGGAAGAAGGGGCCACTGAGGGCTGGGAGGGGTTCCCTGACAGCCCCAGCCTGGGGCCAGCCAGAGCCTCTCACACACACAGACAAGGAGGGGTCCTTGACCCCAGACCCTGCCACACCAGCTGCTTCTGCAGTCCTGTGTGTACAGAGCCCCGCCACACACACATCCTTCCAGGAGAAAAGCCTCCTCGAGCACAGGCCACAGCCTTCACCCTCCCTGGCCCCTGGTCCTGCCCTGTCCACCTCCACTACCTGAGCCTCCTCGTCCTCCTTCCTGGGGCTGATAGCTCCAGCCTCACAGAGTGCATGGGTGATAAAAGGCTGTGAAGGGCCCAGCTGGGGCGTCCCTTTGCCCCTCTCCTCCTTGGAGCTCGATCAGCCCACTCTGACACCTGTCACTTAGTGTTGGCATCTCCACCATGGGCAGGGCCCCACGCCACGACACTGCAGTAACCTGCTATGGCCCCATCTCCAGACCCAGACCATCCTGTGTCAGCACCTCCACCTCCTGGCCAAAAGGGGGCGCCCTCCCACCCTATCAGTTCCCACACCCCGATGCTGCTGGACTATTCACTTGACACTCAGAACAAGACGGGTTGGCTGGACCTCCGAATTTTAGCCTGGAAGAGCAGGGCTGGCTCCCAGTGGGTCTTACCCCGGGCAACTTGCTGGAACTGTCAGCCCTGAGGCCCCCCAACTTTAGGCTCAGTCTGGCCCCCTTGATCACTCCTGCTCTGGCCACCCGTCTGGGTCACAGGACGGGGAGAAGTGCTTGAGCTACCCCACTGCCCCTTGACTTGCACCTCTCTGCGGGGCAGCCCTGGACATACCTGGCTCAGGTGCTATCCTCTCTGGCCTGGCTCGGTGGTGGCTTCCTCACCAGCCACCACCGTACCTACCCACTGACCCTACCCTCAAGCCATAACTGAGAGGGTAGAGTCCTGACACCCTCACAGATGGTGTGACTTTCTCTACACCCCTTTTCAGTCCCAGCCTCACTGCCAAGGCCTGCTGGCGGCTCCAGCCTCAGCGCTCCCTCCACCCTAAGCCCCACTAGACGCCACCCTCTGGCCACAGTGACGGACTTTCAGTTCCCAAAACAGCTTCCTCAGCCTGGAGCGGGCCTCCATCTTGGGCTGCCCAATACCAACTTGACCTTCGTGACCCAGCTTGGCTCCACCACCTCCAGAGGCCCCTTGGGCTCCCCACACTTTTTCTGCCTCCTGCCCTGACTCTCATGCCTCCTGAAGCCTCGCCTGGCCGCTGGACTGGGCAGAAGCTCCCCTGTAACCTCCCCGATCACAGGTCCAACCCACCCCCCACTGCCCCATCATGGTAGTTGGTTATGAGATAGCTATTCAGATAGGGCTGGGCCTAGAAAATGCAGTCGAAGCACACTGATTAATAACAGCTAATATCTACTGTCAGTAGTTTCTGTGTTAGGCACTGGAAAGCACTTTACGTGTTTTGGCTCATATAGTTTTCCTGATGGCCCTGTGATTACCATCCCACTTTTACAGATGAGGAACCGAGGGTCAGAGATGAGGCTCATACAGGGTCTGCTCTAGGCCCAGGGCCATCTAACCCAAGAGCCTGTTCCCCAGCATGGTCACCAATTTGCTCTGTGCCAATGGGCCAGTCACATCCACTGGGCCTCTGTTTGTGTCCTTGTATGTAAAATGAAGAGAAATCCCAGCCCTGGCTGCGCTTGGTGGTTCACACCTGTAATCCCAGCACTTTGGGAGGCCAAGGTGGGATGAACGCTTGAGGCCAGGAATTTGAGACCAGCCTAAGCGACATAGCAAGACCCCATCTCTACAAAAAATAGAAAAATTAGCTGGGCATGGTGGCCTGAGCCAGTGTTCCCAGCTACTTGGGATGCTGAGGCAGAAGCATCGCTTGAGCCCAGGAGTTCGAGGTTACAGAGAGCTACAATCACGCCACTGCACTCCAGCCTGGGTGACGGTGACACCCTGGCTCTTAAAAAAAAAAATCCCAGCCCTGTGACCTTGCAGTTGCAGGGCTCTGAAAAAGTCATCTGGAAAAACACATAGCTCCCCTTTCTTGACGGCAACCTGCAGGGGTGCCTCAGTGCTACTTTGCAAGGGCTTCCACACACATTGTGAGGATTCAATGAGGGGTCGTGGGGCAGGCGAGGTACACAGAGGCAGAGGCAGGAGAGCGGACAAATCCAACCTCAGCAGCAAGCAAATTTGCTGTGCCAGCCCTCGTGGGCATTCCTATGCCTCCTCATGTCTGACTCCAATTCTGGTTTCCATATCCTCATGCACGGCCCCTCCTCCAGGAAGCCTTGCTGGGCTGCACCATAAGCACTCTGCTCTCCTCCTGGCTTTGCTTTGGCCACACCCCAGATTCAAGGTGCCTGACCTATCCTACCCCAGGACTTTGGGAGCTCCCAAGAGCTGGGCCAGGCCCTACTGCCTTCCACTGCACACATGGGACACAAGCAATGGGGGTGGCCAATGAGGGGTCTCCTCCAGCCCCATGGGTCACATATCTCCTGTGAGACAAAGGCTGGAGGAGGGCCTGACTTAGAAGGACCAGCCGCTGGAACCTGGGCCCAGCATCTTGGGTACAGGGTGGAGCCTCCACTTTAAGATTTAAAGAGCCACTGATATATATCAACCGGGCAGTGGCCAGAAGCCAAAAGATGGGCCAGAGGTGGCTGTGTCCTCCTGAATCCTGCCCGTCACATCTCCTGCGGATGGGTGCTTCTGGAGCCCTGTCTCTCATCCACAGGCTACACACTGTGCTGCTGAACCTGCACTCAGGGCTCCTGCTCTCTGCCCAGCCTCATCGCTGCCTCTGGACCTTAGGGAGCTGACTGGCAGTGCCCTAAATGAGACCTGAACTTTCCTGCTGCCACATTTTTGTTTGTGTGGCTCCCTCCACTTGAGAACCTCTCTCCCCTCCCCCATTATTCACCTGGGAAAAACATGGCCACGTTATCAACCTAGCTCAAAAGGTAGCTGCTTCTTCCAGAAAGCCTTTCCCAATGTAGTCCCTCCTTTCCCTCAAATTTAGGGGTCACCCCTGGGCAGCTGAAGGCTTGGAGAGGCCTGGTAGAGTTGGCCCTGCTGTTGTAGAGAGGCAGGTGGTGCAGTGGCACAACCCCTGGACGTCAGTGGCTGTGAGTCCTTGAGTAAATCCCTGCTCCTTCTAGGGCCATCCCCCCTGCAGCACAACGTTGGGATACTCTGGGAGACCTGAGACCTCCAGGGACTGGAGTGGGGACACAGGCCCTCGCGGTCTCCCACTTCCAACCTCCCATTATAAGAAAGAGGAAACTGGTCTCCCAAGTCAGAGAATCTTGGGGTTGGGAGGCCCTGGAAAGTCCCCCTGAGTATAGAAACCCTGTTCCCAGCTTACGGGGCAGGGCAGCTGCTGGTTGACACTGAACCACTGGCAGAGAAAAGAACGCCCAAACCCACTTGACAATCCACAAGGAGCGGGGCTGATGGTGACAACATGGAGCCTCCGGGAACTTCCTATTGCAGCCCCCATTCCCCTGAGCGCCAAGCGCTAACACCCGCTATCACAGGTCCCAGACTGGCCGCAGTCCAGGATCCTAACCGCAGCGCCTATGGGCCTGGCGGGCACTGGCTCCAACATGAGTATGTCCCCTCATAGGGACCTCACTACCACACCAGAGAACAGCACCAGGGTCCCTCTGATCAGAGGGTGCCACCCACCCGGCGTCCAGCTGAGTCCCGCCACTCTGAAGCCCACAGCGCCGCACCAGCTCTGTCCATAGGGCCCTTCAGGCCGCGGGGCAGGGAGGAGAGGTGGCGGTAGGACACTCACCGCAGCTCCCGCGGCTCCCGAGTCCGGGTCGTCCACCGAGAAGGAGCTGCTGTTCCGCAGCCGCGAACGCCTCTTCTTCAGCAGGTCGGCGTCGCGCACGTGGGAGAAGGAGCCGTGCGCGCGCGGCGGGGGCACCGGCCCGGCCTCCCCGTTCACCGATGACCGCCTCAGCCTCACGCCGCCCCCGGCGCCTGGCGCCCCGGCCCCGTTCACCAGCCCCTCGGCCGGGAGCACCGGCGCCCGGGCTCCAGGGCCGTCGGCCAGGGCCTCTGCGGAGCGCCCTTCCCGTGCGGCCTCGGCCCCGCCGTCTTTGGAGGCTCGGCCCGCGTCCACGCCCCTGGAGGCCGCCTCCGGGGCCACCTCGTCCGCGCGGTTCGCAGCCTCCTGGGGCTCCGTGGACGCGTCGGCCCCGTGCTCACGAAGCCGCTGCGCCAGGCTGCCGGCGTCCAGGTCGTCCGGCGGGCTGGGCTGGGCGCTGCCCACGCGGTAGGTGCCGGCGCCGCCTCCGCCCTCCAGCTGCACCAGCTGCAGCTCCTGCCCGGTGCAGAAGGCGCGGATCTGGCACAGGTACGTCATGACGATGAGCTTGTCGGGCACAGACAGCAGCACCATGTCCGCCGGCTCCAGCAGCCGCGACACGCCCAGGGCCGCGAAGCCATCGAAAGCCTAGGAAGGGTGCGCTCGGGGTCAGCTGTGGCCACGGCCCCGCGCTACCCAGCAACGCTGCGGCCCCGCCCCGGCCAGCTGCGGGGGTCCCGGCGACAGCGACGTGCACGACAGGGTTTGCCTAGCAACTCATTCACCCTCCTACGAGGGAAATCTAACAAGAGGCCCGCCCTGTCGTTGCTTAGCAACTGCACAGCGTCCACCCCGTTACCAAAGGGTGGTTTTGGAAAAACGATCTAGGAGGTAAAAAAAAAAAAGCCTTAAAAAACAAAACTAAGGAAAACAAACAATTTAATAACCAAAAGGGTAAAAGAGGGGCAGAACCTCCAAAAGCCACAGCTAGGGCCGTGCAACCCATAGATTCCCCAAATCTCAGACCTACAGCCTGTCTCTAGACCCTATTTCCCTCCGGGCGAGGCTCCCTCCCCCTCTCACCTGCTTGTTGTTCTGCTTGATGTTGAGTGGGTCAAGGGAAGCATAGTCACTGCAGAGAAAGTGGTGTCAGAGGCTGGGTCCACTATACCCTCCCTGAAGGCTCCCCCATTCATTCCCACTCCTTCTAGCAGCTCACATCTTGTCTGGGTAGAATCGGTGCAGGATGGCACAGAAGGCCAAGCCGTTGCGCCAGGACGTGGTGAAGTTGGTGATGCGGACGCCACGGTAGCCAGCGGTGACTTCCTGGCACCACTCCAGCAGCGACTGGCTGGAGCTGACAGGGGCAGGTGGTGCCTGGAGACATTGGAGTGGGCTTAGGGAAGGGGTACATGGTCCCTGTGCCCTCTACCCCTTGGGAAAGCTCAGGCCTAGCACAGAACAGCCCCAACTCTGAGTTTGCAGGGGTCATCAGAGACCACTAGCTAGAGCCTCGGGCCAGGCAAAAGGGTTTCCAGCTCCAGGGTTATCTGCCAAGGTCACCTACAAGGTCAGTGGCCCTCAGGCAAGATTAGAGGTCACCAGCAGCCACACCTCAAGGTCAACCCAGAAAATCAGCTTGGGGTATCCAGCTCCATGCGGCCCAGGGGAGATAGGGTGGGAGAGCCAGGGCATCCTGAGAGAGGGAGGGATGAGGGGGCTCCTTCAAACTGAGCCCCCCACCCCACCCCATCCCATCCCATCCCAGTTGACCAGGTGGGTCCATGCAGAGCCGCCGTTTGCTCAGCTCCAGGTTAGTGGGAAGCAGCAGACTGGGCCCTCAGCGGCCCCCATCCCTACCTGGCTGCCCGGCAGCCTCCTGTCCTCTTCAGGCTCCTCTGGGGAAGAGGCCCCCGAGGGCCTGGGCACCCCAGCCCCTGCCCCACCAGCCACCTGTGCTTCAATCAGGCTGGCCTCTGGGAGGCTTCCCTCAGCTTCTTTTCCCTTCTCATTTCCCAAGACCCCAGCCTCTGCTTCCTGGGCCTCAAAAACACCAGATTCGTTCTCTGGAGGCCCTAAAGCCTCCATCTCTGCTTCCTGGGCCTCCCAATCCCCATATTTGGCCTTTGACACCCCCAAAACTCCAGCCTCTGCCTCCCGGACCCTCAAAACTGTCCCTGGCTCTCGTACTCCTGAAATCTCTGCCTCTGCTTCCCGGGACCCTAAAACTCTTGGGTTACTGACTGGGGCCCTTAAAGCCTCATATTTGAGAGCCCTCCAGACTCCAGTCTCTGCTTCCTGGACCCCAGAAGTCTTAGCTTCTGTTTTCTCAGCCTGTGAAACCGCAGTTTCTGTCTGTCGGGTCGTTAGTGCCTCAGCGTCTGCCATTCCAGCCTCTATGCCTGAGACCCCTGAATCCTCCATCTCTGTCTCCTGGGCCCCCAGTATCTCAGATTCTATCCCTGGGACCCCTGAATCCCCAGATGCTATAGCCTGGGACCCCAATATCTCCGCTTCTGCTGTCCCAATCTCTATCACTGGAACCTCTGAACCCTTTATCTCTGTTTTCTGGGCCCCCAATATCTCAGTCTTTGCTGTCTCAGCTTCTATTCCTGGGACCTGTGAGCCACCAGTTGTTATCTTCTGGGTCCCCAATATCTCAGCTTCTGCTGTCCCAGTCTCTATCCCTGGTACCCCAGAACCCCCTACCTTTGTCTCCTGGGTCCCTGCTACCTCAGCTTCTATTCCTGGGACCACTGAGGCTCCAGCTGTTATCTCCTGGGCCCCC